CTTTCCCTCCTTGGGTGTAACCCTGGTAAAACTCTTCTGGAAAAATCGAACATTCTGGATAATCAGACAGCCTGTTGGTAAAATGTCTTGCACTTCCTAACGTTCTTACATCTCTGCTTGTAAAATGCAACATATCAAGTAATGCTTCACAAGCCTTTCTGAATTAAATCTCTTTGCTGCCCGATGGCTGATAATCCACATTACCTCCCAGAAAATCTCGCCGCTTCCCGACTACTGTAAATTCTCTTCCCCTGGCTGTTGGTATATAATCGTTTACCCTTTTCTTTGCCACAATCAACTATAGCCCTGATGTCCTGGATAGGCATCCCATAACCCAGAATAACATCAAAATTCTCTAAATGGCAACTCCCATCAGATCTCCTGGAAACTCTTTTCCATGAATAACAATTGAATCATCCCTTCAACCACTGCTAATAGTTTTTACTACATCTCCTAATGGATTAGTAACTACCATACCCTGACTCACATATGCAAACTTCTAACCCTTTAACAACAAAGGTTTAAGGTTACACTAATGTATGAATGAGATGAAGCCAGGATCAATTAAAGCATAAACGTGTGCTGATCACATAAGGAAAACCACCAACTAGTTACATCTGGAGCTCCTCAACTTCTCTGGCTCGCATAGCATAAACCCTGGCTTGGACCCTCCTTGTATGCGGGTCTGTCCACAGTCCTCTGACTGCTGTCTCTACGCCTCCGGAGCTCTCACCTCTACCTCTGCCTTGCTATGAACTTGTGTAGGACACTTTTGCCCTCTTCGGACAATCGCTTCTTTTCTGATGGTCTGATGCTCCCGCATATCCAACCAATTTAACACCAGTGCACCAAACCAACAAACTCTCCACCATCCCGTCTGCCACACATGCTACAAGGGTGGAAAAGTATTAACCGGCTGACCTCTACACCCCTCTACTGAGTGCCGTTTACCAATTCCTCTGGCCTGAACCTCGACTACCACCGGCAGAACTAGCCCACAACTGATACCGCTGGCATGTTTAGCAAACCACTAGCTGAGCCTTGGCTAAAGGAAGGTCTAGCACTAGCTGGAACTACTGAGCACCTCTGAATCATCTTGCTTTCTGAACTGTATAATGCACTGGCGTGCACTCTGAGTCTGGTCTCTCCTCTGCTGAGACCCGCTGGCGTCTGGTACGCTAACTGCCCTGAATTCGCTCTATTCTTTCCTGAGGCTTGCTCTACCAAAAGCTGAGAACTCTTGAACTGAAAAGCCTACCACTCCCATTCTGAATCTCCATCGTTCAGGCCTTCCTTGAAAAACTTTTTAACACCTCTCGCTCTGTAAGCCTACTATCCCCCTTACCATAATGCTGGCTGAGTCTGGTAAAAATCTTCAGTTCTCGCTCATATTTCGGGCAACTGACAATTACTGTTCTGCCTCTCAGGTATAAGAGAATTTCTTTCTCCTTCTTGCATCTAGGTAAGGCAGCCTCCTGTGATGAACTTTTCCTTAAAATTCATCAAGAAGAATTGCCATGTACGCTGCTCTTGATAGTTTGACAGGTAGTACATGTATTGCTTCGTAGACTATTCTGTTATTTGGTTATTGGTTCAGATGGTCATTTATGTTCCTGGATTACTTGTTACACTGATTTTTCCGCCCATTTCGGAGCTTTCTGTGGGCCTTCTTCTCCTTTCTCCCCCATTGGGTTGAGGCCCTCTGCTCTGCCGCAGTTCCTTGCACCTTGCTTTCATCCTCTGCACTGTGCTCTTTGGGCCTCCCTCCCGGTCTGGCAGGCGTGTGACTCCGTCGGTCACCTTCTTGGTGCCTCCTCCTAGCACCTGCGTAGTTCATCGGGATGCATGGCACTGTCACTTCTACTTCTGCACCGCCCGGGACTGCACGCTAGGGCTCTGCATCCCCTTTGTCATCCCTTCCGGTCCCCGTCCGCATACACACCGGGTGCGACGTCACTGGTGCTTGTCTGGCCCTGACTGCTGCAATATTTTATGCTATCCTGCATGCTGATGTTTATACAGATGTGTATATTTCGACATGACACTAATGATCATGATGGGCCCTGATGCCCTGTACAGCCATGGAAAAGGGTAAGAGCAAGATACATATTAAAATGAAGTAGCTACCCTGAAGCGAAGTCCTCACACAGAATGACTGCACGCAGTTGTGTAAGCTGACCTCTAGGTCCAATCCTCAAAAACCTGCGAGTTAACAGGTAACTCGCTGAGCAAATAAAGCTCAGTGGAATTCTAAAGATAAAGAAAATTAAACACATACATGTTGAAAGACAATGTAAACACAATATGGCACATAAAGCACACACATCATATACTTTCATGATATCCCTTGATTATCTTTTTGTATGTTTATAAACTGGTATAATTCGAAATGTTATGTCAGTATCTGGTATGGCTGCCATAAGGTTTATAGTGAAACGAAGATAAGAAAAACTTAGAAACTGGATTGAAACTATATGCTTGGCTGCTATGGCCTGTATAATCATATTCCACTCAACGGCTGTAGCCGGAGTACCCACAACTGTATGGGGCGCAGATCTGCTTCCTATGTTCGGACATAGCCCTTATCTAATGTTTCACCTAAACCTCAAATGGAGCATAATGTTGGTATGTCAATAATATAACACAACATTCAAAGTAAAGTCATAAACTTCATAATTCATAATGTTCAATTTGATTTTCACATCATTTGCATGCTTGAATGTTGTTTTAAATAATGTTTTAATGTGTATTTTGGATGAAGAAGGATTGGGAGCATTAAGTGAAGTAAAGGAATACAATTGACATGAAAATAAAGTCCAAAAATGCATGAAAACACAAAGTCCGAAGCGAGCGCGTACTTCAAAGTCGCGAGCGCGTAGAATGCAAAATGAGAGACAGTGAGTTATCGGGCACAAGTCGCGAGCGCGTACTTGAAAGTCGTGAGCGTGAGAAGTACCAAATGAGAGACAGTGAGTTCTCAAGCTAAATTCGCGAGCGCGCGATGAAGGTCGCGATCGCTTATAGGCCAAGGGCCAAGTACGCGAGCGCGCACTTCAAAGTCGCGAGCGCAAGATGTGCCAAATGAAAGTTAGAGAGTTTGCGAGCACAAGTCGCGAGTGCGCACTTGAAAGTCGCGAGCGTGAGATGTGCTAAATGAGAGTCAGAGAGTTTTAGGTGAAAGTCGCGAGTGCGCATGTGAAAATCGCGAGCGCGAGAAGGCAACGCGAACTCGTCATGCAAATCTGTACTCTTTTGGTCATATCTCTCAATATACAACTCCAATTTGGATGATTCAAAAACCCATGTAAAGCTAACACATAATTCCAAACAACCCATGTAAAGCTAACACATAGAGGAAAACAAATAACTCCCTTCTATGACACTTCCTAATTCCATCATTAAATGGGTCAAAATCAAACGATGAAGTTACTGGTAAAAATTCTCCAGCAAAAACCTGTTTCAACATAACTCATATTTACTTCCTTTATTCAATACTTTCCCCTCCTGTTTTCTCACCATTACCAGTCCTCCCACTCACATAAAGCAATATGGTCTCATAGCAACACACCACACAAATCTCATACAAAGAAAATGGTAAAGAAAAAGAGATATCAAACCTTTGCTCCAAAAAGCTTGAGCTCTTCTTTAGCTTCTTGTTTCTACACTCTTAGAACTCCCTTCACCTATAAATAAGAATTCTTATGAATTCTAAAACAATAGCACCAAATGTTTCAATTATGAACTTAAGAAGGTTTACTTACTTGGATAGAAGAAAAATTGAAGTTAAGGCTTAACTACCATTAAAATTGAAAGGAAGGTGGAAGAGGAAAGGAAGGGAAAAGGAAGAAAGATGAAGAAGATGAAGATAAACATAAAATGGGAAAGTGAAATGGGTATTTACGGGTAAGCCATCAAAAATCAAGGGGGATTTGTGTAGTAAAAGTTCTAAATGGTACCTCCATTGTAAACAGGCTACAACTTAATTACCTCAAAGCTTATATCTTTTTAATGGCAAATCAATCCTCACCCACCATGCTTGATCTTTTTTCTCTCACTAATGCAAATCAATCCTCACCCACATGCTTGATCTTTTTCTCTCACTCAAGTAACTCCACTTAATAACCCATTCTACCCCAACCGGGTCTGGTTCAACTCGACTACTCAACTCTATGCTAAGACTCGACTCAGTAGGATATCACATATTGGTTGTTTGTATTAAACACTTTATCACTTGAAGTCCAAATAGATTTCATTTCCCAATGGAATATGGCAATGCAATATGTTCTTACATTAAAGTTCGATATATTAAACTTTTCTGTAAATGTCAATTGTAATAAGTTTTAAAAATACAGATCGAGACAATTTGTGGAAAGTTTTTTTTGTGGTCATATCTGCAAATGAATCGATTAAATTAATATTTCCTTCAAAAAGAAAATTTCAATTTTCTATATTTGTATTTTACTCCAATGGAAATATTATAATACATTTAATGTATATTCATAATTGTCAACTTAAAAAAAAACATTAAATTCCCTCTTCAAAAAAATCTAAAAAGTACACTTTTGGATTCAATTCGTAACATTTAAAAATATTATTTTGAAGTACTCTTAAGAGTAATAATTTAAAATTTCAAACTTTAAAAATAAAATGCTTGTAATAGTGAATATTTAAAATTTTGAACATTTATCTTAAAGGTAAAATTTATTTATAGTCTACTACTGCATTTATTTATTTTTACATCCATTGATTTTATCGATTGTTTTTCGCATAAATTTAATTAATTTAATTTGTAATTGGGTACTTATCAATCGATAAAAACAATAATGCGCTTGTTTTCCTACATGTTCAAACAGATTAGTAATTTGAAAAACAAAAATTTCTACTTTTCTATTATGGTTTTAGTAGTTGAGAAAATAATAAATTTTGTGACTGACATTGTCGAATAGGAAATTAAAATTGAAAAAAAAAAAAAAGCACCAATTGCGAAAAGTGCGGGCATGGGTCCTTTTGTAGATCGTCGGCTTGTGAGTTTGTGGCTAATCAAATGTGCTGTGTCAAATGCAAATCAACAACCGGTAATAGCGAGCTGCGCTAGTATTCTTCTTCTTCTTCTTCTTCTTCACAATTCCATAACTGCTTTCTTCTGTGTTCATAAATTCCCTGAAAATTCAAATTCCAAACTTCAAACTCTCAGAAATAATTGAGAACAGCAAAGACAAAGCCAAAAACGTCTTCACTTTCGAAATTCCTCTATCCTCTGCTCTTATCTCTCTGGATCTGGCCTAATTCCAGGAGTGAATTTGCTGGAGCTTACTCAGCTATCTGTCTCTGCGAATTTGATTTTATTTGGTGAGTTGACAAGAAAAAAATTCGTTTTACTAGCTTTTAATTCTAAAATTTCTCTGTGGTCTCTTCTCCAGAAAATTTCTCTTTCTGTTAGCGTTTAGGCTATGGCAGGGACCTGATGCTTGGTGCTTAAGTTGCTCTGCTTCTGCTTATTTGGTTCTGTTATATATATGTGGAACACTGGATGTATGTTTATGTTTATGTGTTAGTTCCACTCGTAAGCTTGCGAAGTATGAGACTACTTCTTGATGTTGTGTTCTTTCTGCTTTGTATCTTTGACATGGAATTTCATTTTATTTTTCTTTTTTCCCTAATTTTGAACAATTTGTTTAGCTTTCCAGCTGCTTAGCTAGAATATCTGTTAACAAGAAGTTTCTGAAAATAGTAACTGTTAAAGATAGAGAAAACCTATTGGCTTGGTTTGGTTATTTGGGCTCTTCTAAGAATAACATGGAAATAGCTCTTCATGGTGAACTCTAGTCTAGAGCATCATGCTGTACACTTCATATTGTGAAATTTGGAGTTACTGTAGTTTCTATGTTGAAAATTAGCAAATTGTGGCTTCAAAGAGTTTCAATTTAGTCTACAGGGATCGAATATATATAGTTGAAATTAGCATTGTGGCTTCAAAGAGTTCAATTTAAGTCTAACAGGGATCGAATATATATATATATAATATATATAATATATATAATAATATATATATATATTATATATATATTTAAGATATAGTTAAATTGGAAAGGGCAAGTTATATATATTTAAGATATAGTTAAATGGAAGGGCAAGTTCGAAAAAGTAAAATTATGCGAAAAGTGCCTTTAAACTTGTTCCAAGTAGTATAAGTCCTGCCATCTGCTTGTGATGCTTTTCAAATGTCCTATAATTTATAGTTCTATTTAAATATTACCGTTTTTTACTTTTCTTGCCAATTCTCAGTTGATTTTTTTCCATAATATTAACTTTATCTTGAGGGTCATTTGTTTGGACAATTCTGAATCTTGAATCTGAATTAACTATCTTATTGTGTTCAATGATTATGAAGTGCTATGTAATGTCGTTTTATGATTATACGAGTAGTTTTTTCTTTTCATCTAATAAGTTGCATAGTTTATTGATTCAGCTCTAAAAAGAAGTTTTTTTCATTCAGCTAGAACTTAATTTGCAAATTCAGATAAACAACTTAGTAGTTCACCTCATATAAACAAGCTTATTGTTTATCGTCAGAGAGGATAAATTGGAGGTTAATAAGCTGAAACAAACGGCCCCTTGGTATCACTTGGCAAAAAGAAAGAACGGTAATTGTATATGTTTTATAACTTAGAGAAAGAAACAAGTTGGTGAATATGTTGAAAAATAGTTCTTTCACTACCTGGCTTTTGTGAACTAGGATGATAATAAATTTGGAAATTATAAATCCGAGATAGTCCCAGTAATAGAATTAAATGGCTTCCTCTGCTCATTTTCAGCCCTATTTTGCTAGGTACGGAAATTATATGTACATGTCAAAATTTTGGCTTTAACACTGCTTTGGATTGCATCTACGGGTGATATTTGATGAATGTTTGAGGGATAGTTATACGTCTGAAGCATAATTCAAAAGTGCTGCCTTACTATGTCGGATCAGGCTGCACAATCAGATAATGGTAAGGATGAAATACCTGAAAAATACTTGCAGTCTCAACAATCTGTTTGGATGTCTCACTGGACGCATACAAGTTACAGATCAGCGAATGTCACTCACAATAAGCTGTTGCTTAACTGTGAATCTGGGCACAACAGTCAAAGAATTAAGCACCACCCTTTGCTTGGCAGGCCAGAGACAGAACCAGATAGCTCTAAATTTGTGAAAAAATTTAGAGATATGCATAAGACCTTTCTAAATGAAAGTTCAAGAAAATTGACGCATGAAACGTTCAAAGGACAGCATTTTCCGATGTTCAAATCTTCTCTAAATAAAGATGGTATGTTATCTCCGAAAAATGAGGAATCCTCTAGACATCTTGAGTCACAAATTGGTCTTACTGCTGTTGATGTTTCTCTTGGTAGAACTGACAATCATTTACCATCAATGCTCAAGTGGGTTCCTTCCAAAGCAGAAACTCAATCCACAGAATCTCAGTTTCGGTATGAAGGCATCACATCAAATCCAGAACAGCACGTCAAGATCAATGAATTGCTTGAAAATAATATAGTTGTTTCATCACCTCCTGAAAATGGGTTTTTGGGGTCAACTTCTAGAACCATGCCATCGGACTTTAATGGCAGAAATATTCCAACTGAGTCCTTTATACATGGTCAAGAGTATACTAATCAACCAAGCAGTTCCTTTTTGGTTGATGAGAAGAAGATGAATAATCATGCACCTCTATTCATACATGATCCTTCAACAAGCAATAATCAGCTTGGGAACTTTGTTGGTGGACAACTCCAGACAATGCCAAAACATTCTAGTGTTAAATTATTAACTAACCAGATGAGGCTCCCAGAGGGAAGATTACATCCTGGATCTCTTGAAGTACCAAGGATTTCCTCTTATTTCAATGATGTTGAGACTATGAGGATATGTACGGCAACAGATTCTCCAAAGTTTTCTCAGACTACTCACCACTTCTTAATCACAGAAAAGACTGATGTAAACTTATCTGATGGAGGAGAATTGTTCAGAGAGTCCACAATATCCACCAAATTTAAAAGAAAACCTGTGGGTGAAGGGAAAGAAAAAACAGAAAATGTCCATACTGAAGCAATTGATTTGAAGAATGAATCATCAGCTGAAACTGATACCATGGATATGGATACACTCCAGGAGAACCGTCTCTCTGGTATGTTTGCATTATGCCTCATATGTCCTGGACTTAGAGCTAGGTAGTGTCTTGTTTGTATCATGTTGACACATATTGTTTCTATGTTTTACAACACAAGATAGAGAATCATGATAAAGATACAGAAATCAACTTACTAAGTTCTTTAGTGCTTTTAAAAGTTAGTTAGCCTCTTTTTGTTTTGTTTTTTTTTTTTTTTTTTTTTCCCTTTTGAGCCTCTTTTTGGTTTTGTTTTTTTTTTTTTTTTTTTTTTCCCCCCCTTTTGGTTTTTTTTTTTTTTTTTTTTTTTCCCTTTTGGTTGCAGTTAAGATCTTTAGTGCTTTTAAAAGTTAGTAAGCCTCTTTTTTTTTTGCTTTTGGTTGCAGGTAAGGCTTCATCCATCTCAAATAAGGTAATTTTACTCATGTTTTAATCATTTTGTTAATCTTCCCGCTCAAGTGCTTCGTGAAAATCAGTTGCATTTTCAAAAGGTGGTAGAGAAAAAAAAAAAGATTTCTAGAAGTTTCTTCAATGGCAACATATTTAATCTTCATTTTGCCTTTAATTTAAGATCGGAAAGATTATATACCATGATAGTTACTACCAAAATGATATGAGTGGATCATTACTTTTGGCCTTAAAATTTGTCCTAAAAGACATCTGTGCAGCTATCTTATTTAGTTATATCATCCTTCTTTTCTATGCTTCCTTTTATGACAAGTTATGCATATTTTTTGTTTGTTGACAATGACTTTCTCGAGTTTTTAGACTTGAGATTTGCTTGATTGAGAGACTACCACATACAACATATGGCAGGTTCATTAAATTTGTCCGAACATACTGACTACTGAAATGAATTCAAGTATTTGGGTGCTATAAGTTTGTTTTCAGGCTAAACAATTGTTATTTTTAAAGTTTTTTCTAAGGTCTTTTTTTTTTCTTCTAAATTTTAGTTTAAATGTGTGTCTTTTCTTTAGTGATACTTCTTACCGTACTTTTCAGTAAGATTGCCTTTTTTATTTGTTATTTACTCTTCTTTTTTACTTCTATTAAATACAAATCCTTTTTATAAAAAGTACTCCCTCAGTTCCACTTCGAGCAGAAAGAAAAACAAATTAAATCCTAGAATCAATTCTTAGTAGGCTGTTTTGCCCATCTGATTATCCTGTGACATGGGCTTTTGTTGACCATCTGTAGTGGTTGTATCTGCTGATATATAGTCTTCTGATTAGAGGCCTCTGTTCTTACAGTAATGAATTTTGTAGGACGTCAAGGGAACCCAAAAGTCATCATCATCTCAAGTGGCAGTAGCACCAGTCAAAGAAGAGACTAGAGATGGACTCTCACACATAGAGATACCTGATATTAACCAAGAACTCCCCATAATGCCAGGTGGAGCGAGTTCTGCAGATGATGAGGAGATGAGCACCTCTAGAACCCAGAGTTTGGATGTCGAACACTTTCTTTCCAATACCGAACATCCCACAGACTCAAAATCCAGTGCTTGTGCTGATTCTCCACCGGGATCAGATCCATCCAGCAGATGGGTTAAACGTCTCAAACCAAGTACTTCGCATTCTTTCCCTAATGGTACCAAGAGCACAAAAATGGGAGAAGCATCTTCCCATGAAAAAGTTAACAAGCTCTTCAGTAAAATACTAAACGGTAGCAAAACTAATTCAGAACCAAAGAAGAACAAGTCTTATGGAAAGCAAAAGATGTTTCTAGATGAGACAACAGAGTTACTGAGGAACGCTGAATCCGCCTCCACAGACTCCGAGATGAAATGTCAAGACATAACACTTTCACATCCTTGGATCCAGAGATGGTGTCATAAACCAGCTGTGTCTTCCAAAAAGAAGCCAGAAGCTATGGTGGTGGTTTTTGAGCCACAGAATTCAAAGGGGGCCCTAGACGAATTACAGGAGAAGCAGTTTCCAAGCATTGCTGCTATGGCTTTGATGGGGAAGGCCATGACAGGTTTTGGTCCATGTGAATTGAAGAAATTGGGAGCATCTGTAGTTTGGAATACCAAACGATCGAGTTAAGTGTCAGATAAAGGCATAAGGGAAATGCGAGGAAAATTTAAAAATTTAACTTAGATTGGGAAATTGATTTCTGAAGGACTACTGGTTAATTTACTGTCGAAGCATAAAGAGGTTTTTGACATTTTTCGTGAAATGGCTAAAAACTTAGTTCCAAATCCTCACATTTGTAATAATGTCTGGTGGGATATTCAGAACTACTTGGATGGCATGAAGTCATTGGTGATTTGGACGAAGCAGCTGCTTCGATATTCAGAACTACTTGGATGGCATGAAGTCATTGGTGATTTGGACGAAGCAGCTGCTTCGAGTATATTTTGGGGCGCCATGGACAACGGTAACTCTTGGTTTGTCAATTCTTGCCATTTACTTGACGGTGGTGCAAACCATATATACTGCCTTGTCTTACCTCAAACAAATGAGGGAGCAAAATGAATAAATATAAATTTAGATTTTTTTATTACAAAGTGTTATAGCGTGCTGTCCTTTTTTTTTTTTTTTTTTAAATTATCTTACTTCATGTTCATGTCGTATTGTATTTTGTATTTTATGTCCAGTCTCCAGACAACTTGTATTTTAATCGATAAGTATTTATTTTTCTGTTTTGTTTTTTTAAATTAGAAAAAAAAATGTTCTTAGTTTATTTTATTAGGAAATTACAATTTCAATCGGTCCCTCTCCTTTCATTATGCAAATTGATTTTTTCTGGTCTATAGATTCATGTCAATAACTCCATTTCCGTCATATTTTTCGCTTCGCCGAACACTCTCTTCTTCAAATACTGTGTTTATAAATTTAAATTCTATAAAAATTCTAACTTACAATATCATATCTTTTACATAATTTCAATATCATTAAAATAATTGACTATGATTGATGTTTAAACATTAACTTTGTTGCAATACAAACGAGTTATAGGTCAAAATATACTATACTAATACTATTCAATTATTGTAACCAAGAAGGTTTTTTTTTATTTTTATATTTTTTATATTTTAATTTTTTTTTTAAAAATTAGGATGAGAGAGTTCTTATTTTATTACAAAATTACCACACATTAATTTATCCCTCTCCCTTCATATTATATATTTTTTTTCTTAACTAAAGAACATTTTATCATATATATATTAATTCAAAAAGAAAAAAAATTATTCTTTTCGCTCTCTCAAAATCTAAAATCCCGGAACTATATTATTAATTACATATAAACATGACATCTTCACACAATTTAAATCTTTCAATTCTTAAATTTAAAATCCACAATTAGGTTATAATGCTTTTTTTTTTTTTTCTTTTTTCTTTTTTTAGGTATATATGCTTTTTTTTTTTTATCTTGTTTTCTTTTTTTTTTTTTAAGGAAAGTGTGTAATGCTAATATTATAAACACCAGTAAAAAGATTGCGATGCTCTTTAAAAATTAATAACAAAAAAAAAAAAAAATCTGTTAATTTCTAAATTTTTTTTTTTTTTCTTTTTTCTTTTTTTTTTTTAAGGAAGTTGTAATGCTAATATATAAACACCAGTAAAAAGATTTGCATGTCTAAAAATAATAACAAAAAAAAAAAAAAAATTGTATATCTAAAACTACTCATTTGAAACAAAATCTAATAATTGAACAAAAATTGCTGTCCAAGTTGATAACAAGAAAGAGCACTCTACTTTTAAAATTGTTTTAATTGCAAAAGCTAAACAAAATTATTAGAAACATTAATTAAAAAAAACTACTTGCTTATTACATTCAACGTTAACATTTCACAAACAAGAGCAACGGTTTCCCACTCAATGACCGAGTCAGTACCCACAAGAACTCAACTTTGAGAATGCAAGTTGAGGCAATGGTTAAACAATTAGTATTAGATTCAAGTAGCCTTTTAAAATTCCATAAGAAAACAATTCTAGATCATTTTTGAACTATGCCTTCAGCCTGAGTTCTTGTTCCTTCATTAATCACTTCATTTTTCTCTGGATAGATTTCTTTCCTGTCCAATTTTTGACAAGCAAGCTATGGGTAACGCTATTAAGATTCAATGTGGTGATTTGACTGGCCGTTGCTGGGATTTCATTGCTGGACAATGGTTGTATGTATGCCAGCTTGAGGATAATCTTCAGGCATTGGAGACGGCAAGAAATCAATTAAAAGTGCTAAGGAATGATGTGATGAGAATGGACATCAATCAAGAAAGACCAGAAATGCTAAGCAAAGCTACACAAGAAAGACAGAAGTTGTGTTTAGCAGGCTGTTGCTCCGAGAACTGCTAATCCAGCTACACATTTGGGAGAAGTGTTGCAAGAAATCTATTAAAAGTGACTATTTTGATGAATGAATGAGATTTCAAAGAAGTGGTTATGGCAGAACCGGCAAATCAACTTCAAGCTAATCTTGAAGCATTGAAGACTGCAAGAGAAGAATTATAATTCTTTAATCGGTCTAATAATGTGCAGTTGAGTCGTAGGAAAATGGTTGAAAGTGCTACAGAAAGCATCAAACAGAAAGCTAGCAACTTGGAAATATATGGCAAGCTGTTTTGACGAAGCTCCTATTTAAGAATATTTTATTAAAATATAAAAAAAAAAAAAGAAAAAGGAAATTAGAGGATGTATATTCTGTGTTCCCTTTGGACAAAATGGACTAGTGGACATATTTGCAGTCCAGTAAATTAGACCTTTAGTGTAATAGACTGAACCCATATGTGTTGAGTTTAGGCCCAGTAAAGCTCTTGCTGGAAAACAAAATTTTATTTTTTGTAACATGCATGACATATAATTATTATTTACTTTATTTTTTGTAAAATGCATATTTAATAGTATCATTTAAACAAATTACAAATGCATTGAACAGGCAAAAACTAACCGACACCAAGATTGCGTACCTATAAAACCAAATTTAATACTCCTTCAAATGCATCCTCAGAATTGCAATGTTCAAAACCTTCTGTTTTGTTGTAGTAATTCTAAGCCTTTCAAATGTCGCAATTGCATTCGATTTTCAGGCGCTATCACCTTCTCCTTCTCCATCGCCTTCACAGCCATTAGAGGAATGGCTAAGAATAGTCGCATTCTCGGATAAATGTAGCAGAAAAGTAAGTCCTGGTTGTGGGAGAGAGATATTCAATTCAGTATTTAAGGGTGGAATTGCTACAGCTGAGTGTTGTGTTGAGTTGGTGTCAATGGGAAAAGCTTGTTATGATCAATTTGTAGCAGTTATGGCAAAAAATGGACCAATTTTTGAAGCTCATCTACCTGAGTTCCTGGCCAAAAGGGTAAGAAGTATATAACGATTGTACTGTAATAGTTGTATCACCTTCACCTTCACCTTCACCTTCAGTTGTATTCTGACTTGTCTGCTTTTATCAGTGTTCAAACTACGTAAAAATAAAGGTTACATGTCAACCAAAAAATAGAAGCGAAGAAGCAATTACTTCAAAAAAAAAAAACTTCTCTCTATTTTAGCTAATAAAAATTACTGATTAATTACTGTAAGTGGTTTCTCAAAGTCATGAAGCTTAGATTTTTTTATAATATAATATTACTCAGTTTTATTTACTTTATTTTTTATTTAATAATATGGTAAAAAATAAAATCATAGTCACATGGTAAAATAATAATTATATGTCATGGCATGTTATAAAAAATGAAATTTTGTTTTCTGTCAAGAGTTTTACTAGGTCTAAATTCAAAAGTCCATCTGGCAATTTAAAATTTTTATTTTGTATACAAAATAAAAATAATTGTTTGTTCCTCTAGTTACATTTTACTGGCTGTTCATTCCAACACCCTGTCAAAAGAAAATTATCAGCAAGCATATATAATAACTTCGAGAAACCATATGCAATGAAATAGTTAACTAAAAAACTTTACTCGTAGCGCCTTCCAGGCGTGATGAAGAGAAGTAGCATTCTTTCCCAGAATTGATTTCCAGGTAAACTCTCAATAGCCATGTATGCAAAATATTCCCAGAAAACTGATGTAGGTATTAGCTTTATTGCAGGAATAGCGCATACTGATGCTGCTACTAGAAGCGACTGCGAAAGAAACATATTCTTTCTTGGAATAGGTTGTAGTTACCTTAATCACTTTTATGGATTCTTGCTATAATATGATCGAAATGCATTAGTTAATATATAGACTTCTTTAGCTATATCTAGAAATTATATTTTTATGTCAAAAGGGAGAGAGGTTCATGAAGCTCTAATTGGTATATGTTCAAGTTGTGAATTGGATTATTTAGAAGATGCATTTATTAAATCGTAATTTAATTTAAAGCATTGATTCTTAGTGAATATTCTAGAATTTTAATAAATGTTTAAATTTGTTGTTTAGACCTTAAGCAAAGAATGATTGATAATTTTGTTGTAATTAGTTGGAAGGTTATATTAAGTTGTAAATGGATGGTTGAACGTTAACATCCTTATTTTCGAGGAGGATGGGAGTTTAGATTGTTTGTGTTATAACAAGTTGGAATGTTACTTTATGTTGTAAACTGATGGTTGTTTTAATTTGTGAATTATAGTTGGATGATGATATGACTATTAAAGAAGGATGAGATTTGATTTAATTTGACTTAATTGAGATAACATTATAAAAATATATTATTCATCGATTTATTTTTCTTTCTTACCTTAAATAATGATAAATTAGCCGTAACAAAGTATAAACAACCAATAATCTGATTTTTTAAAATGAAAGGTTATATTTGTATACACATCAAGTGAAATTAAATTTGAGTATTGTTGTGATATCTCTCATCCTAGTCTCTTTCTTAAAAAAAAAAAAAAAAAAAAAAAAATATTTTTAATGGAAGGTTATATTTGTATACACATCAAGTTGAATTAAATTTTGCAGTATTGTTTGTGAATATCTTCATCCTAGTCTAACAACTTTCTTAAAAAAAAAAAAAAAAAAAAAAAAAAATTGATTGGAATATCTTAAATTGTCTAGTTAGTATGCAGAGACAAAAACTCATTTATAAGCTATTTCCGTATCACAAAGAACATTAAAAAAAAAAAAAAAAAAAAAAAAAATTGATTGGAATATCTTAAATTGTCTGTTAGTTGCAGAGAACACAAACTTTTATAAGCTATTTTCCATCACAAAGAAATTATCATAGAGAGTTGCTATTGGATGCATGAGTTTGCCAGGTTGCTACTTTTTCTTTCCAAAATCTGAGGTATTTAACTTGTATTTTTGTCTATACAACATGTATTTTTCTTTTCAAATTAATTTTGAGCAGGATTGTGTCACCTTAACCACTTTCTTTGGGGGCTGAGGGAAGTGTAGGGGAACAATATATGTGTATAGTCTCTCTCTCTGTCTTTTAATCACATGGGTCAAGAACATGCCAAGTGATGACACCAAAGCATTTATGACTGATGACTTTGCTTTGAAGACAGTGGCAGCCCAGATTTGCTACCCATAGGTAATGGTTATTTGCTCAAGTTGATCTAAGGCGATTGAGCATAAAATGTTTAGTTTATTCTCGTATAGTCGTGTAAAATATCATTTATGTCCCCACTAAGAATCGATAGATTTTAGACAGATTTTGAAAAATATGATTTTACCTAGAAAACCATTCAGCCATATGAAAATTTATGAGAATTTGA